CCAGGAGAATCCCATGAACAGAAGAGCCCTGAGAGCTACAGTCCATGGGGTCGCAAAACACGAAGCGTGACTTAGCAGCTGAGCAGAGCGCAGCGCTCCTCACCAGAGAGGAGGAGTTTCTGTCTCCCTAAAGGCTGACGTATACAGGAGTGAGAACAGTCGGATTCTGCCTCAGCTGCTCTGGATACAAGGCGAACTGGACCAGGGCTTTTGAAATAGCAAGGAAAGGAGAAGCCAGGATTCTGGGGCTGTGACCCCAGCCTCAGAGCTCACAGACACAAAGCCCTGTTTAAACACACTCTGAGGCCCATGAGCCCTTGGAGAGTCTGCACTAGAGACCTGCCCTGAAGTGAGGGTGCCGAGTGTCTGAGATGCCAGCAGACATGTGATCATGAACGTGGCCACAGGCTCGGAGAAGCTGCTCAACCAGAATGAGAGAATAGAAGTCTGCACAAGTCAGCGTAGGAAGGGTGATGGCTGGTGCACAAGGATCCATAATTGGATGCATGGAAAGAGGACTCAACACTCAGAGACTGTCAGGTTGGATAAAAATCTAGATAGCTTCTCCTTACAATAAATACACCTACCATGTGGACACAAATGACTGAAAATAAAAGTCTTTAAAATGATCTACCGTGAAGATTCTAAGAAGAGACTGATACACTGGTACAGTGTTGCTGTACCAATATCAAACAAAAGAGACTAAGATAAATTGGATGATTAGAGTGAAGCAGGTCACTATCTGATGACAAAGGCTCAGTTTACCAAGAAAGTACAGTAAGTCCCCTACATATGAACCTTCAAATTGAGAACTTTCAAAAATGCAAACATGTGTTTGCATGTCCATTCATGTAAGTTGATTCACATGTCTGGCGTACGTTGTCATATACATGCATCCTCTAGAAGTAGCTGTGCTTTTGTGCACCTTACAGTACTCTATAGACTACAGTATCTTTATTTCAGGCACAAGACCTGAACATAGAACAGTTCATAACGTTTGCAGCAGCCCTTCAGAACGCAATCCAGTGTTACCACGTCATCAATCTACTGCCCAGACATCACTAAATTGTTTTTCAAGAGGATAGGAAGAAGTGAATTCAGTGAGGACCTGGAACCTATGCCCGTGGGTCATGAATGAAACTGCAGCTTGCCCTCCGTCTCCTATTGCTGATCATCTTTCATCTCTACCATCTCCCACCTCCTCTCCCTTCTTTTCCAGTTAGTAACTCTTCTTGCCTGTTCACTTGATGCCAGACCCTGTATGCCAGTACTATACTACTGGACTTTTCAACAGACTGTCATGTAAGATTTAAACATTTAAATTTTTGTGTTTGTTGGTTTGTTATGTATTATTTGTGTAAAAAGTACTATAAACTGATTGGTCTTCAAAGGTGGCGCTGCTGGTAAAGAAGCTGCCTCCCAATGCAGCAGACATAAGAGATGTGGGTTCAGTCCCTGGGTTAGGAAGATCCCTTGGAGGAGGGAATAGCAACCCACTCCAGTATTCTTGCCTGGAGAATTCCATGGACAGAGGAGCCTGGCAGGCTAGAGACCATAGTGTCACAAGAGTTGGACACGACTGAAGCAACTTAGCACGCATGCATTACAAACCGATTACAGTATAGCAGTACTACATGGCCATTGTGTTAGTGGGGTAACAAGGCTAGCGTTGTTGGACTCACAAATTAGACCTGTGAATGTGCTCTCAAAACAGAACTGGTTCATATGTAGGGGACTCACTGTATAAGACTTTAAATATTTTTCATCTAATAGAATAGCTTCCAAATATATGATAAAAGATTGCTAGAACTACAGGGAGAAATGGAAGATCCTCCATATTCTGAGCAATTCCAACCTACCTCTCCCAACCATTGACAAATCAGCTCAAGCTGAAAACATTTGGCAAGTACATAAAAGATCTACATTACCCCACTGACTACCTTGATTGGAGGGACTCCAGAATAGAGGGATATCTCAAGGCCCTGAGGTGTTTACAAAAATTGTGTGTGCGTGTGTGTGGCAAATGAGACACAAAATGGTGAAATATCCCAGTGTGGGAGCCCAGAGAATGAGGACGGAAGTCAGAAAGAAGTCACAAGTTGCTAACAAAAAGATAAACATGCCACCATTTCTGAAATATGAAGAATGTGCTGCTGAATGTTTGTTTGTAGTTAGATAGGAAATCAGAACTAAAATCGACAAATTCCTAGAACCAAGAGAAAACGAAACTCCACCCCTCACATGATGCAGCAGATGCTACGATTTGAGGGTGAAAATTTCAGGAGAAGTAAAGGGACCACACTGAGGGAGCCTGGTGCCCTTCAAAGACAGGGACCCAGGTTGCACAGGAGAAGATGCACGCCTTAGACAAGTGTGAGTGTTTGTACAGACACAAGAAATGTTTGGCAAGCTCTAAGAGGAAGTGTCCACAAATGTTCCCTTTGGGAAGTAAACAGGAGTCCCAGTGAGATACAGCACAGTTCATTTATCTTACCTTCTTGGGACATTTGAGTGCTTTACTTTCAACATAAACTAGTTTCATTTTGAAATGCTTTATCAGGACACCCATTTTCATCAAGGTCCCAGGAGATCTCATTCTGTAGGGACAAAACTCTAAGTGCTCAGCCGATGCTCAAGGCCCATCAGTGTGTGGTACTCTCCTCTCCTCCTGCTGCAACAGCCCCTCCCCAGGAGTCCCCATGAGCTGAGAGGCCCTGGGCAAGGCTGGATGTGAGGGGCAGCAAGGGCTGATTTGGAAGGTGGCCTTGGGACTAGACCCTCCTTCCAGCACAGAGGGGAATGGTGGGCAAGCACCAAACACCACGTGCGGCAATTTGGCTCCCAGGCTGGATCATTGTGAGGCCCTTCTCTACTGCCTTGATGGCCCTTGGGATGGGGCCAGGGACCCAGGCCTCTGTGCCTCTTTGTGGGGAGGATGAATTTCACACTGACTTCCGTGCCACCTTCCTGTGAGGACAACTGACTTTGAGGTTTATTTATTCACAAGGCAAAGGTTACTCCTATGGCACAGCCAGGACTTTGAACTGTTCAACCCAGCTCCAGACACCAGGGTGTTGATCAACCTTCAGGCCCTGAGTCCAGCTGGAGAGATGGCCCTTTTTGCCCCTGACCTCTTTGAAGATCTAGAGGCTCCACCTGTGGAGCAGCTGGAACGTTCTGTCTGTCCGGTCTGGGCCATTCCTCTTCCATGCACAAAATTGAGGGATCCCCCAGAACGTGGTTCTGCATCCTCCTCTCTTTACATGAAAGCCGGGCATCACCCACACCAGCAACTCTGCCCACCTGAAAAGGACTTGCCCAGCCTGAGTCCACAGCCTCTCCCATGGTGGCCCAGAGACACCTCTTTGCCCCTTACTCTGCTCTACACCCTGCCAGCAGGTCACTTTGGGTTCTAGTGGAAGGGGACAGTCCATATGCCACTCAGTTGGCACTGAGGACTCTAGGCTTCCTTACCCCACCTCCAAACCACCAATAACTGTGGGGTCTCCCTTCTCCATACACCTTCCAGGCTTCTGCACCCCCATAGAAGCACCTTCAGACTCACTGCCCCCACCCCACTCCTGCCTTCCAGGGGCCTTTATTGGAAGTGCAGGTCTGATGAGGGACATCCTACACGGAAGAGAAACATACTCTTTCTCCTGCCCCCCAACCCTGCCACAGCATCCCTGCTGGGCTTCTCTCTCCAAGCCTCTCTCCTTGGGGGTGAGGGTGGGCAGAGCCAGGCCCAGCCCTGCACATGCCCCTTTGTCTCTGGTCACCCTTGACTCATGACTCCACCGCTCCAGGTGTGAGCTCACGGGACACCTGCTGCCCACAGCTGCAGCTGCACACCCGCCCCTCTGCCACAAGGAAGATGAAGCTTGGAGGGTGTAAGCAGGCAAGTAGGTCAGCGGGGAGTGACAACAGCGGCCTTCCTCCTGGTCTGCAGGAAATCTGTGCCCGGCTGGCGAGAGCCCAGAGGCTAGCAAGGCTGGACATGGACCAAGGACTCTGGATTCAAGTCAACAGCAGCTGCTTGCCTCAAGAAATTGGAAAAAACGGAGCCTGAAGTTGAACAAAGAATGATTCAAACACCTCTGTCCTTCCCCACCCTATGACTCTCACACATTCCCCTTACTCCCCACTTTCAGCTTCTCAAAAGAAGCTTCTATCTTAGTGATTTTTATAAGCACCAAACCATTTGTACATCAGAAGCGTGCACACCCCTGGAAGGAAACTCCCGGCTCCCATCGCTGCTCTGAGATCAGTGCCTACTGGACTCCACCCTCTGGGAATGACCCCACTCAGGTCTGTCCCGGGGTCACCTGTTTTGGCCACAGAGAGTCTCCACACCCACCCTGCTAGGACCCTCTGTGGGGAGAGAGTCGGGAAGAGGGGCTCCTTCTGCTCAAGGGCTAATGAAGGACAACTTATATTTTAAGCTCTTTACCGCTTGCTCCTATTCACTCTGTCTCCTTATCCCTGCCTGTGCCCCCAGCATGACTTCTATCCAGGTGGCCCCAACTTGCATTTCTGACAAGTTGCAATCAGGCTCTGAGGATTCTCAGTGGGCAGGGCTCTGCCCAGTGTCTTCGAGGGGGGGTGATGCACACAGCAGGGGTCTGGCAGCTCCCCAGATCCACGCAGGGGGCTGAACACACCCAGCTCCCCAAATAAGGATCTGTTCAGACGAAGCTTGAAAGTGGAGAACTCCAGGAACTGGCTCTCCTGGAAAACTGCCACCCACCGTTTTCTTTCTAAGGATCATCTAATCCCCTGCATCTAATAAAAATATAATAAGGAATTCACTGTCAAGAAAATGATCTTTTCCCCTGAACTCAGGGCAGTTCCTGAAACTCGTGTGACTTCCCATAACTTGAGGCTTCCTTCCTGAATGTAGGACCTGGGTGTCAGACCTCACGTGCAAGGATTCTGAATCCTTCTTCCTGCCTCCTCCTTGCCTGGCTCCGCCCTGGAATCATCACTGGGTATTAGTCCAGCCGCGCAGACCAGCGCACAGACAGGCTGCAGCTGCGGACCGGCGGGCAGACAGGAGGCGTGCAGGAGCCGCGGGCGTGGAGTACTGGGGCGCAGGTGAGAGCTTGAGGGGCGGTGGCCGGGGCTCCTGGTGTCGGACCGCCCCGCGCACTCACACGGGGCTGGGTTGGTGGAGATGGGGCGCTGAGCTCTGGGGCTCTGCGCTCTGCGCCCTCTCCGCTGAGGGAGAGGAAAAGACAAAGACTTCGCAGTCCTGGTGGAGAACTGCGTCTCTGCAGGGTGGCCCCAGGCTTGGCTCTGCCCCTGTCTGGAGGGTCAGAGAGTTGGCATCTTGAGCTCCCAGACGTCCACCCATCCGCACAGAGCCCCTGCTGCCCCGGACCACATCTGGGGCGAAACACTTTCACATCCAGGCCAACACTGCGGCTCTCATACTTTCCCACACATACACAATTGTGTGCACTCACAAGGGGCACACATGAACACACAGCTCATTCACTCACAAACACTCATTAAAACAGAGCAAATCCTTGAGAGGGGCAGTCCACTGCCTCTGTCTACACTCTCCTTTCATTTTTGGTTAAGCTGCAGCAGCAATCTCTAAATTCAGTTCACCACCCACTACTGGTTAATGATCTGCAGTTTGAAAGCCACTTTCCACTCCCAGTGCCTGAGGAGCCAGAGCCCCTGGGAGGCCCTCAACCCTGGGACTAAATAGTGAATGTGGTGGGGAGGTACAGGGTCCCCCCTTCTTCCCGCCCCCAGAGGGTGCATCCAGCAGGTGCAAGGAGGGGGAGGATTCTCAGAGGAAGTGCCTTGTGAGAGAGTGAGAAGTAGCCCAGCTGATGGGATGGCAGGTATCGATGGCAGGTGTGAGGCCGCAAGGTTTACAGACTCAGCCCCAGGCCTGGAGGAACTTCTTACTGCCCAGTAGGAATGCCTACTGGCCATAGCCACAGGGACAGGACACAGCAAAGACACCCGGGACTGGGGTACCTCTTCCCTCTGAGCTAGGGTTGGGGCTCCGTTTCCACTGTCTTCTGAAGGTGGTTGGTCGCCTCCCTCCACACTGTTGGTGAAAGGCCTGCCTGGAGAGCAGGGTGCTCACCTTCACATGTAAATATCCAGGTACATAACAAGTTACCAGTGAGCCTTTGCATGGGAAAGCTGGCCCAGTTTCTCCTAGGTGCTGCAGGAGTGGAGATCCCTGCTGACCGAGAACCCCTGTGCCCCTGGTCAGCCGATAACCCTCGGGTCCACATACCTGCTGCCTCAGTTTCCCTGTGGCTGGACAAAGTGCTGGCAACAGCATGCACTTCGCAAAGTGTTCCACTGACGCTCAAATGTGACCAGGTCCCCAGTGACAGCACAAACCCCAGCTGTGTGCCCAGCTTAATATATGCAGATACCAGCACCTGTGAGAGTGATCTGAGAGAATTATGAATTCTTGCCTCACTTTTCCCAACTCCAGAATTCTCAGGGCCCCTCCAGGTCTTGCCCCATGCACGCAGTCTTCCTGTTCCACCCCCGACCCTCTGCCTTCTCACCCCTGTCTTCCCCTGATGTGCCCTGGCCTCTCTCTCTCTCTCTCCCGTTTTTCTGTCTTTTGAAGCATCAGAGACAAGAGGAGAGACTCGGGCAGAGGAGTGGAAATGCCAAACTTAAAAACCCATCTGAATTTCAGATAATGAATCACTTTGAAATGTAAATATGTGGCAAATATTACATAAATTATACCTATATTTAAAAATAAGACAACACTGGAACCCCAGACTGATAAAAGCATCAAATGTGCCTGAGGACACGGGGAGCTCCTCCCATCCCCAGTCCAGCTCCTCCATCCTCAGTCCAGCTTCTCCATCCCAGTCTAGCTCCTCCATCCCAGGCAAGCTCCTCCAACCCAGACCAGCTCCACCCATCCCCATTCCAGCTCATCCATCCTCAGACCAGCCCCTCCATCCCAGTCCAGCTTCTCCATCCCCAGTCCAGCTCTTTGCAGACAGCCCTTCTGCACTCTATAAGGTGGAAAAAGTCTGTGTCTCCATTGTACCGATTTGGTTTCATTGAGACTTGTCTATGGTTTCAAGGATCTGCCCCAACCTGGAGTTCTTCCCAGCTCCTAGGCTGTATCGTCTGACAATGAGGAGCCAGGCCCAAGATGGTTGGAGTTTGGGGGCAGAGACTGGTGGGAAGGGACCCTGGCGTTTCCTTGTTCGGATTCTGGAACCCTCCAGGGCTTTCCCGGTGAGGAGAACGTCAGGGAGCGCATGGAGTTGGACTGAGAGGTTCGTGTGTGTGAGGGCAGAGCCCCGCCATGGCCTGGGGAAGGCTCAGAGAAGACTGGACGTTTAGGGGAAGCGGGAAGAGTGGCAGGGAGGCCCAACCAGTGCCCATCTGGGAGCCCACACCTTCAGCAACCTTGGACAACATGACAGAAGATGGCCAGGGGTCACCTTTGCACAGGCATTCTACCTCAGGGGACTCCAAGTGTTGGTAGAAAGTCTGTGACACTTCCTGGTTTCATACTCTTCTGGTCATTTCATTATCTGTGAGAACATATCTATAAATAACACATCTAGTGACTACAAATGGGTATTTAAGGAAGCTAAAACAGATATTAATGCTTAAAAAATAAGTCAATGTAAAATAATTTATAGGACATAGGGGTATGTGAAAAGTGAAATGTTAGTCGCTCAGTCGTATCTGACTCTTTGTGACACCATGGGATTCTCTAGGCAAGAAGACTGCAGTGGGTTGCCATGCCCTCCTCCAGGCGATCTTCCAGACCCAGGAATCGAACCGGGGTCTCCTGCATGACAGGCGAATTCTTTACCAGCTGAGCTACCAGGGAAGAGCGAATTTGTAGGACATAGGGATACATAGTGCTGTGAAAACCACACAGGTGGGGGCGGGGAGGCTGGCGAGACAGGCTCTCTGGGGTGTTTCCCTGGCAGGTAGACAGAATATGAGAAACTGAGGGCAGAGTGTGGTTGGATGGGCCTGACTTAGGCTCAAGGAACCCCTCAAGCCTTTCTCAGGGGGCCATGCCCTCGCTACTGGAAGACATCAGCTGCCCTCCCAGCCGGCCTCTGGACTTCAACCTGCTGCGTCCTTTTGATGTCCTTTTACTCATAAACAAACACACATGCTCCCTCCCAGAGTCCAGTAGGACAGGTCAGCGTGTTACAAAAACACCCTTTGCTGAGGTCACCCACTCTCCATGTCACCTGGGCCAGATGCAGACCAAGGTTGACCTTTGACTCATTCGGCTCTGCTGAGGCACCTGCCCAGAGCTCATTGGAGGGGACTGACCGCACCCATCATATGGCATCGGTCCTGCAGGGAATTCTGAGCAGGACTGCAGGGATTGAGCACCCATTCTAGGCAGAGCATGTGGGAGGCCCTAGGGGCCCTCCCCCCAGCACTCTGTGTGTGTGTGTGTGTGTGTGCGCTGTGTGCATGTGACACGGTGTTCTCCCAGGGAGTGGGATTGGATCCTGGAAGCTTCTGAAGACGGGGTAGCTTCACCAGGCTAGCTTGTCCTGGCTCCACATGGAGTGAGAAGGACGTTTAGGGGAAGCGGGAAGAGTGGCAGGGAGGCCCAACCAGTGCCCGTCTGGGAGCCCACACCTTCAGCAACCTTGGACAACATGACAGAAGATGGCCAGGGGTCACCTTTGCACAGGCATTCTCCCTCAGGGGACTCCAAGTGTTGGTAGAAAGTCTGTGACACTTCCTGGTTTCATACTCTTCTGGTCATTTCATTATCTGTGAGAACATACCTATAAATAACACATCCAGTGACTACAAATGGGTTTTTAAGGTAGCTAAAACAAATATTAATGTTTAAAAAATAAGTCAATGAAAAATAATTTTTAGGACATAGGGGTATGTGAAAAGTGAAAGTGTTAGTCGCTCAGTCGTATCTGACTCTTTGTGACCCCATGGACTATAGCCCACCAGGCTCTTGCATCCATGGGATTCTCCAGGCAACAAGACTGCAGTGGGTTGCCATGCCCTCCACCAAGGGATTATCCTGACCCAGGGATCAAACCCAGGTCTCCCACGTTGCAGGCAGATTCTTTACCATCTGAGCCACCAGGGAAGCCCAAGAAGACTGCAGTGGGTTGCCATGCCCTCCTCCAGGCGATCTTCCCGACCCAGGAATCGAACCGGGGTCTCCTGCGTGGCAGGCGGATTCTTTACCAGCTGAGCTACCAGGGAAGAGCGAATTTGTAGGACATAGGGATACATAGTGCTGTGAAAACCACAGAGGTGGGGGCGGGGAGGCTGGCGAGACAGGCTCTCTGGGGTGTTTCCCTGGCAGGTAGACAGAATATGAGAAACTGAGGGCAGAGTGTGGTTGGGTGGGCCTGACTTAGGCTCAAGGAACCCCACAAGCCTTTCTCAGTGGGCCATGCCCTCGCTACTGGAAGACATCAGCTGCCCTCCCAGCCGGCCTCTGGACTTCAACCTGCTGCGTCCTTTTGCTTTCCTTTTACTCGTAAACACACATGCTCCCTCCCAGAGTCCAGTAGGACAGGTCAGCGTGTTACAAAAACACCCTTTGCTGAGGTCACCCACTCTCCATGTCACCTGGGCCAGATGCAGACCAAGGTTGACCTTTGACTCATTCGGCTCTGCTGAGGCACCTGCCCAGAGCTCATTGGAGGGGACTGACCGCACCCATCATATGGCATCGGTCCTGCAGGGAATTCTGAGCAGGACTGCAGGGATTGAGCACCCATTCTAGGCAGAGCATGTGGGAGGCCCTAGGGGCCCTCCCCCCAGCACTCTGTGTGTGTGTGTGTGTGTGTGCGCTGTGTGCATGTGACACGGTGTTCTCCCAGGGAGTGGGATTGGATCCTGGAAGCTTCTGAAGACGGGGTAGCTTCACCAGGCTAGCTTGTCCTGGCTCCACATGGAGTGAGACCCTGTGTGGTTCAGGACTGTGAATGAACCCACTCATTCATTTATTTTCAGTCAACATCCTGCTGGCTCAGAGAATCTGCCTCCAAGGCGGGAGACTCAGGTTTGATCTCTGGGTTGGGGAAATCCCCTGGAGAAGGGAAGGGCAACCTACTCCAGTATTCTTGCCTGGAAAATCCCGGGGACAGAGGACCCTGGAGGACTAGTCCATGGGGTCACAAACAGTGGAACAGGACTGAGTGACTTTCACTTTCACTTTTCACTCAACTTCCCAGAAAGTGTGCTAGGAACTTGAAACACGACTCCTAAATTGATGGAAAGGATAAAAGCTGGACAATGGTCAGGAAAACGTGATGAGGAAAGGTTTTGAGGGGGTGAGGTGCCTTCTGGATACTACAGTCCCCTGGCTAGCTCCCTCCCAGAAAGAACACACCTGCCCTTCCCACTAAGTCTCCTGGTCGCACTGGGGATTCGGTGATGATGCCAGGTCACCCGGCAGGAGGCTCCCCCTCTCACACAGTGAGGGACCGCTGCTCTCAGAGCACAGGCTTAGGTGGCACTCTTCCTTTGGTTCCCTGGGGGGGTGAACCCTCCATGTGACCCTGAGGACACCTGCCTGCTCCAGCCTTGGGGGCCAGTGGGCAGGCCTCCCTCGGAAGGTATTCCTCAGCCTGGGGAGACATGGCCTGCCTCCCCGTCAATGGGACCTCCAGGCCCATGTTAGATGGGAAACAGGGGAACCAAAGGCTGTTCTGAGGTCAGTGGAAACAGCAGAGTGGCTGGGGTCTGAGGGGAGATCTTGAGGAGACTGGAAATGCTGGGGGTCCTGCCCAAGGCTTCCTCCAGGATGGGTCAGTGGCCAGAGAAGAGCACACAAGATGAATCTCCTGCCTGCTCAGGCAGGCTCAGGGTAGGACACCCCTGGGCAAGGGTCTCCCTCCAGGCAGCCCCGAGGGCTCTGGCTAGGGGGCCAGGAGTCACTGTCCACCACCAGCAAGGATGCCTTTGGGCCCTGTGGGTCACTGGGCACCATTCTGTGTATGAGAAACTTCCAATTTAAGAAGTTATTTTGTAAAAAAAAAAAATACTCAGGAAAAGAATTGAGCAGATTTTACCTGAAGTGCCAGGAAAAGCCCCAGCACAGGAAGTTGCAACACCTCTTTCTAGAACCTTCCATCACATGAGGTTCTCAGCAGCAAGTAATAGTGATGAGCTATTTAAGCCCCATCCTGGCAATTGCTGAAAGGCAGCTACTGGATTGTGTCCACCAGTGAAATCTCAGCCTCTCTTGCATTATGCTGAGCAGGTTGTGGCAGGATCAGGGCAGCTGTCTCTCTTCACTCAGTCACCAAATTCTTTGTTCTTAAAAAAAGAAAGAAAATGATTAAAACTGTGGAACTCTTGTGAAAAATGAATGTCAAAGGAAAGATAAACAGCCATAGAGAGAACCTGCCTTCCCAGGGGTGAAAACGCACAATGGGCAGCATAGTAACTGTACCTCGTGGCTTGGCAGAGCCTGAATAGTCCCACATGGTGGGGGTGCCTTGGCCAGGGGGACAGGGAGCTTCACTCTTCAGTGCCCCAGGCACCACTTGTCCTCCTGGAAAGGAAGCAAAATTAGACCTGTGACATGCCACTTACAAACAGACCTTGAGGAATATTCAAGATTTGAGCATAAAAATAGACAAAACTTGACCATGATGGATATTCCACCATCTGGGAAGACTTTTAAAAAGGATACTTTAAACAAACAACAAAAACTACTTTAAAAGAAAACCCTGAAGCTTTCAAGGAAAAGACAGACAGGACAATATAAACACGTGGAGTCTTTATTCCAGAGACGATCCAGGGAGAAATGGTGATGGACACGTACTTATCCTGGAAGGCAGTTTGTTTCTTTAAGGGGTGAGTCTTATAAACCTGTAAGGAGAAGACAGACAGTCCCAGGAGGATGAGTAAAGGGTTTGCAAAGGCAGTGACAATGTGGAAACGCGAGGAACAGAACCAGGATGAGCTGGTCAGCCCTCCACAGCACAGGAGTCACCAGGAAGAGGCGGAGCTGGGAGCCAAGGGGCCCGGGCTGCTCACAAGCTAAGACAAAGGGAATCCTTGCAGCCACTGAAGTCAAGGTTTCAGGATCCGGGGAGGCAGACCTCACCAGCAACACACTACAAAGTGAGAACCAGACGCAGAGAAATGGACGGAACACGACCGCAGAACACTCCCTCCAGTGTCTGGGGTTTGTGCCTGATCATTCCAGTGAGGGGAAAGCTGAGGTCTGGGGAAAGAGGGAGGGGACAGTGTGAGTGTCCTGGGGCAGCCGTGACCAAGGACCACAAACAAGGGATCAAAAGAAGCAAAGTTTGCCCTCCTCCAGTTTGGAGGCTGGATTCCAAAATCAAGGTGTCAGCACAGCTGCAGGGAAACATCCTTCCTTGTCTCTTCCAGCTTCTGGTGGCTCTGGTGTCCCTTGGCTTGTGGCCACATCCCTCCAGTCTGTGCCTCTGTCAGCTCCGGGCCTCCCTCTGTATCTCTTTCATATAGATTTATAAGAAAGCCAGTCACAGTAGATTGGAGCCCACGCTGCTCTAATATGACCTCCTCTTTCTTTATGACTGCAAAGGCTCTGTTTCCGAGTAAGGTCACCTTCACAGGTTCTGGGTGGACGTCTGTTTTGGGGCCACCTTGCAGACTTCCCTGATGGCTCAGTGGTAAAGAATCTGCCTGGCGATGCAGGAGATGCGAGTTCTATCCCTGAGTCAGGAAGATCCCCTAGAGAAGGAAATGGCAACCCACTCCAATATTCTTGCCAGGGAAAATCCATGGACAGAAGGGCCTGGTGGGCTCCAGTACATTGAGTTGCAAAGAGTCAGACATGGCTTAGCAACTAAACAACAACAACATTCACCCTAGTACATACAGTACAGAGGGAGAGAAGAGAGAATCAAGTAATGGGTTGTCTAACCTGATTCCACATATGTAAAAGCAGATACATGTGTGTGCACAAGAACACGTGTCTCTCAGGTGACTTCTTTCTTCTTCAACTACAGATGTTGTACATATGTGAGAAAAGAAGGCTGTCCTTCTGACGATAAATTAGGAATAGAAGCAAGTCTAGAAAATCAAGGGAAGTGAGAGACAGCAGCACCAGTCACAGGGGTCTGGCTCCTGAGGTTGTCCCTCCCATTTCATTCTCCTTGTTTGACCCAGGGTCTCCTAGAGTCAGGACTGGGGCTGGTCACAATTGGCCCCCAGCTCCTGGAAGTGATTACATCCACAGTTCCCTTTGCTTCAGGCCCTTCTGCCCAATTACCCCTGAAGTGGGGACAAAAAAAATCAGAGACATTGAATTCAAAACCAAAGGGTACCAACTCCATGGCATTCTGGAAAAGGCAAAACTCTGGACACACTAAAAAGATCAATGGTTTTCAGTAGTTGGGGGGAAGGAGGGATGAATAGATGGAACGCAGAAGATTTTTCAGGCAGTGAAGCTACTTTTTGTTGTTGTTCAGTTGCTAAGTCTCATCTGATTCTTTGTAACCCCATGGATTGTAACCCGCCAGACACCTCTGTCCTCCACTATCTCCTGAGTTTGCTCAAATTCATGTCCATTGAGTTGGTGGTAAGATCTAACCATCTCATCCTCTGTGTAGTACCTAATGGAGGATACTTGTCATGAAAAGTGAAAGTGTGAGTTGCTCAGTCATGTCTAAGTCTGTCCATGGAATTTCCCAGGAAAGACTATTGGAGTTGGTTGCCATGTCCTACTTCAGAGGATCTTCCTGACCCAGGGATTGAACCCTCATCTCTTGTGTGTCCTGCAATGGCAGGCAGATTCTTTACCACTGCACCTACTGGGAAACCCAAATGTCAGTTTACTGGATGCCAAAGCCTGTATGAGCATTTGTTTCAGAGGAAGTGAAAGTTCTGCTTTCCAGACTGTAACTCACGAGTTCCACAGGAAGACTCTTTTTGTTGATAAAAGCAAATCTGGAGAGTGGACCAAATGTCCCCAAATGCCAAGCTGCAGAATTCAAGAGCAGAAGAGGGGCTGGGAGCATCCAAGGTGGTCTTAGGTTGGTGTCAGGTTCAAGTGGTTACTCAAGATTCTGTGTATCACGACCTGTTTCTACAGAACACATGGCTCAGGGAGTTTTGCATGTTTTTTATAAAATTCAAGATAACCCCAGCAATATAAATGGACTTGTCTCCCAGGGACTTGTTTCCTGTCTCATCTGTGTTTCTCATCTGTCTGGCAGTGGTCCCACTGCAGACATTATTAAGGTATAAAGACGGGTCAGGACATAGTGGTGAGGGAGGAGCTTGGGGACCCTGGCAAGGGTGCAGCCCCTCTCACTGGTTTCTGAAGGATCCTAAGGGATCTCTGACTCATCAGCTTTCCTTCCTCCAGGGGGTGTCCCAAAAACCAGGAAGGAGGACAATGGACTCCTTAAAACTCCTCCACGTCCCGCTGGCCATGCTGACCTCAGCATCCACTCTCCTCGCTCCCAGGATGCTCTGGGTCCTCTTGTTCTTGGCCACCTTCAGGAGTGCTCAGAGTGGAAGTAAGTTGCATGGTCCCAACTCTGCCGGGGGTTGGGGGAGGCAGCAGGGGCCAGTCGGGTGTGGGAGGAGAGACCTAGATCAGGCCAGGAGGGGCCCAGGCTCCAGGTAGTGCCAGTGACCCCAGGAAGGGCAGTCAGTGGATGTCCTGAGGTCCAGCCATGATCCACATGTGTGACTGTCCCCCACACAGACTGGGATCACCCCAACTGCACCAGGGGTGTGGTTTCTGTGTTGCGGGGCAAGCCAGCCACGATAACCTGCAGCATCTCCAATGCCTTCTCCCACATCAACATCTCCCTGCAAACGAACCCCACGGCACCCTGGAAGCTCATCTTCAGTGTAAAGGCCCCAGGAAACTTCAGCCAGGATGGATGGCAGCTCTGGATTCGAGAGGGCGAGGCGCATCTGGTGATTGAAGAAGCCCAGGACACCCAGGCAGGGCAGTACAAGTGGAATCTGAAGGGGCGCCAGAGAAATGTCGAAATCACCACTCTGAACGTCTCGGGTGAGCGGAGCGACTAAGGCGGGGGTTGACCCCAAGAGCTTCTCTGTTTGGCTGTGGGGAGGGGGAAGCAACTAGAGAGGAGTGACTCCTGCCCACCTGAGGTGCCCAGAACCACGGCGATGAGGCCTGGAGAGGACTCCCACCCTGCCCCACCCACCCCACGTCTGTGCCCCCTCTGAGCCTCTCCTCAGGGCAGCCCCAGCATGTGGGCCTGGTCACTCTCCCCGTCTGCTCAGGGGGCGGGCGCCTTCCCTCCCTGCACACCTCCTACCCCCCACCCCCACTCCTTCCTTTGCTGCAAAGCTTCCCCAGTCACCATCCCTCCACCCACACCCTTCGCCTGTTCTAATGCAGTCATAGTCACCCTGAGCCCTGGGGACAGGAAGTAGGGGTCCAGGTTTGCCCCAGAGCAGGAAGAGTGGGAGGAGCACCCCCAACCCAGCGGGGCCCTGGGAGGGGAACCCAGTGAGGCCTTCATGAACTCCTGTATCCAGGGCTCATCTGATACCTGGGGCGGAGGGGCTGCATCAGGGCAGACCCTGGGCAGGCCCCCGCCAACCTGCCCTGTGTCTCTTTGGCAGAGCCGCAAGACCTGCTCCTCACACCTTCCGCAGGTAGGTGTTTCTATCTTCATCCTGGGGTATAGGAGGGGAGCCCCAAGAAAGCCCTCTTGGGTCTTCCCTCCTCTGACACCCTCACCCTCTGTGCCTGGAGCCCTGCCCATCCCATGCATCCATCCCCCTGCCACTCTGCCAGGCATGTGCTTCCCAACCACAGGCGACATCCCCCTCGAGGGTGCCCCCAAGGGGGTCAGGGGCTCCTGCACAGGTGAACTAATGAGGGAGGTCACACCCCCTCCTTGCAGGCCCAGAAATGAAGCTGCGCAGTCTCAAGACTGATCCCGAGGACAAGAGCCAGATCCAAGTGGTCTTCCCCATCCTCGCCCTGGTCATCCTCTTCATCCTACTGATCTGCACGCTGGCCTGGTGTCGAAGGCATCGTTCCCCACTCTCCAGGCTTCAGCAGGTATGGGCCACTGTGCCTGGTCAGTGGGCTGGGGAGGGGATCTTGCGTGGGATCATCTCAGACCCGGCATAGACACTCTGCCCCAAGGCCTTGTATCCACCGAGACTAGTGAGAGAGTGGGAAGCATTTGAGGTCCCAAAGAGCAGTGCCCCTCCCCCAGAGGACCCCAGGCAGCAAATACAGTCCCAGGCCCAGAATGCAGATGCCCCAGTCCCAGACAGGCCACTGAGTCCGCAATGTCCCTAGGACGCCCTGGAGGGTGGCATGGGGGCTGGACTTCCTGCTCCTCCCAGGAAACCTAAGATGTGTGGGCAGTGGATGTGTCTGCAGATGCACCTGCAGACAGAGGGGTGTCTGCACATGGCCTTCATCTCCCTTTGTCCCTCCCTCTCTCCCCAGGTAAGGGGCTCTGAGCCCGGAGTACCCAGCGTACCACACTACACAGAGCGGAAGCTCTGTGGGGAAGACCAGGCCAAGGACTAGGAAGCTTGGCAACATCCTGGCCTCTCCCTAACACACACGCCAAGGAGGGATCCTTATTAGGTCCTTGGGCCCAAAGTACAAAAATCTCAAGTTCCAAAGCACTTAACCTAACAGGACCCTGCCCCTCCTCCATCCTACCCAGGCCTGGGGTCCTCCCCTGGGCAGGAGTGCCACGCTGCCGTCACCTGGGAGATGCCCCAGTTTGGGGTCCTCAGCTGATCATGTCTTCAGACTATGAATAAGACCCTCTTGGACCGTCTTATCTTTGGACCATGAATAAGAAGCAGTCTGAGGGACCTTCCTGCCAGCAGTTGTGGAACCGAAATGAGGATATCTATGGCCTGAGATGATGCATGGGGCCTCCTCCACCACCCCCAAAGGATAGAGCAGCCCCTCTGGATGGGAGGCTGCTGGTGGAATCTGTGTCCAACCTCCCTGTTCTCCCCAGCCCTGAGGCTCCCCTCTCTGCCACCTGCCCTACCTGCTGCCCCTTCCTGTTCCCAAATGTATATCAAACCGTATCCTAAATTGTATATGCCAGATGTTTTTACAAGAAAAACTGTATAACTCCTGTGAGTGTATCCATTGTCTTTTGGGGGAGGGGTGGTGGTAGGTCTTTTTTTTCTTCCTTTTCTCTTTTGTTCTCTTATGATTTGATGACTATCTTTATGCTGCGCTTGAATTCCTTTTTCTTTTGTGTGTGTATATCTATGATATTAATAGATTTTTGGTTTGCCATAACCATGAGACTCTGATACAGCAGTCTATATATACATGCATACATACATACATGATTGTTTTAAGTTGCTGATCTCTTCCTTTCCAATGCATTTCAAATATCCTGCATGTGTACTCTGCTCCTCTCATGATTACTGGTTTTGATATCATGTTTGAGTGTGTGCATGGCTTCCTACTCTTACTGTATGTTTGCCGTTACTGGTGAGCCCTCCCATTTCATCCTTTTCTTGTTTCTCTTTGTGGTCTTTCCTTCTCAGCGTAGAGAAGTTCCTTTAAAGACAGAGCTTGTTTGGTGGTTTATTGAGTGTATTCTTAAAAGGTACATATAAGGTGATAAAAAGAAGGTTTTTCTAGAAGTACTACATGCAGTGCTTTGCAAAGCAAACATCCACACTGCTAATCTTCAAGATGAATACACTAAACCTACTAGCAAATCATTGAATGAGCCGAGAAATATATCTTTAAATGAAGAAAACAAAAATCTGAAAGAAGCTGCTGTGAGTCTTACAAGCTAAAAAGTCCCAGTGAGGGATTCCCTGGTGGTCCAGTGGTTGAAAATTCACCTTGCAATGCAGGGGATGTGGGTTCGATCCCTGGTGAGGGAATTAAGATCCCAAGTGCTGTGGGGCAGCTAAGCCTACATGCCACAACTAGAGAGCCCATGAAACCCGACACAGCCAAATAAATAAATATTAAAAAAAAAAAAAAAGAAGTCCAAATACATCCAGAAGGCTAGTTATCTGGGAGGCCTCCCTCATCATGGAGAATCTCAGATTGGACACAATGCATGCTGCCTGGCGACTGTGTCCTCACAGGAGGGTAACGATCCCAGAACAGCTTCACTGGCACCCAGAGTCCAGGTCTAGAACTGACTGTATTTGCATCTCCCAGGTTAAAGAAAGGTTCATGCCAGAAATGGTGAGTTTGTTCCACCCCCGGGCCAGGCCCCTAAGACACAGTGGGCACGGCACGTGGGACCACCATGCTTTGGGGGCTGTGGAAATCTGTTCCATTTTGCCTAAAACAGACCAAAGGTGTTGATGCTTTGAAAGTCATTCAAAGGTCATTTTAATATTGCTAGCACTGTGGGATGGGCCCACATTAAGTCATTCAGCCCCTGCACACCCAAGGCAGGAAACCTAGAAAGAAATACTGTGTCTGGGTCCTTGACTAATTTTAATTTTCTACTCGTTGCTTGTCTGTACGTTCTAGGAGTTCTCTAAAGGAAGTTTAGCTCTGAGTCCTTGCAGTGCCCTAGAGACCCTTCCCCCCAGGCCCCTCTTGCTCCTCCTCAGCCACCCTGGCCCTCTTGCAGGCCCTCAGAAACCCCAGGCTCTCTCTGGCCTTGGGGACCATGCATGTGCTGATGCCTCTGCTTGGAGCCCTGTTCCCAGACAGACCACCTGACCCTCTCTCACCTCCTCAGTGCTTTACTCCTATGGCCCCTTGAGGTTGGGCACCCCTCTCCCAACAGGAGCTGTGTGTCCTGCCGCGGGTCTGCTCGTCCATCCCTGGAGTCAGGCCACGGGCGTCTAGTCCGTTTCACCCTCTGCCCTTGGCACCATCACTGGCAGGTGCGGGCACCCAGGGAGTGCTGGTGATGAACAAAGGCAGGATGAGGTTGGAATGGGGCGGGTTTGACAAGCCCGATGCTGTTATTGCTTTCTGCCAACAATTTTGCTAGGATCCTCTGGGCCTTTGGCAAGATCTGACCCTGAAATAGATACTCGCTCATGCCAGAAGTGTCTGTAGGTAGGTGGACAGCCCCCGCCAGGGGCCGTCAGCCCAGCAAACCTAATCTGCCCCACCCCAGACTTCACCCAGGACCCTGAGCCATTAGCACGGGAGCATCCAGGAGGGGCTTTCCAGGGAGGAAATATCTTAGGGCTGTCTGCCCACGCGTGAGCCATGTACACACACCAGGCACACCCACATGTGGCTTTGGGGCCAACACTGAAAGCTTGGCCCTCTAGCCCAAGGACCCCAGGACAGAGAAACGTCTTCCTCTTCCTGGTTGCCCAGAGTCTGTCTCTTCTTCAAGGACTTCTGAGCCCTCGGGGTCAGGGTCCAGGCATGGGTTTCCCTCTGGCCTGGCAGCTGCTCACCAGGACCCTGGTGCACGAACATACTGGATGGTAGGCCAGCGGAGTGGTCTCCAGCCCTGGCACCCACAGGAAGGAGACTCGTGAGCCACTTGGGCAGCCACAACCTGGGCACAAGCCCCGGGCCTTTCCCTAAGACCACACCCAGCCCCCAGCTGCAGTGGTGACTGACTTGATACTCCAAGTTTCTGGACATAAACAGGTCCCAGCAGAAAGTGAACCAGAAGACCCGGGCATCTGGAACCTGACCCCCACCCCCACCTGGGGACCCCCTTGTCTTTCTCCTGGTGCTGCCCCTGCCCATTCTTGCCCTCCTTTCTCCTCTCCCTGGTGTGCCACTGGGGCAGAGGGCCAGGATCACAGATCTACACGTGAGCCCTCAGACTTAAGAGCTGGGGAGGAGCACTGCCCCGCCCAGCCTCACCTATAGCACGTCCCCTCACTCATGGTACCACCTCCAGCAAGCCTTCCTGGAGGGCTCAACCGCCCGTCATTGTGTGCAGCCCCCCTGCCTACCTCCGGCTCCATCTTGCTCCCACAGCGCCTGAAAGTGGTACTGGGAGGTGGCGGTGGCACGCCGTTGGGCACCACAGACAGGAAGAACCGTGACACCTCGGTGAGAGGGGCCCCTGCTCTTCCTTCTGCAGTGAGCATGGTTGGGCTCCTGAGGCTCCTGCTGCTCCCCTTGCTCCAGGCCTCCCGAGGTAAGGCTTCCCGACTCTCCATTACCCCATCCCCACCACACCCCCCTAGCAAGCTTAGCGCTTCCACTCAGCCCTCCCCTCCCCACCTCAGACTCTCTTTCTGGCGTAGGGGGTAATCGCTGGTGACTTTGAGGAGACCTTTCCTTGGGGCCCCAGCAGTCCCTGCCGGGGGTCAGGTCCAGCCTTGGGCACTTGGACCCAAAACCATAGGTATCAAGATGTTGCTGATGTCTGGGTGCAGAGTCTCTGTGGTTGAAACTCTTCTTTCTCTTTATCTGAAGTTTCTCCTATAAGCATCAAGGCTGTCTTTGTCCTGAGAAAACACCATCCTTCTGCTTGCCTTTTGTGCAAAGTTCTGCAGTGAGAAAGAGACATTAGTTCCGCAAAGTGGGATGGGGAACTTGATGGGCACAGTTCTGGTGCCCCCTCCCCCCAAAAAGAGCTGTAGAATTTAGTTTCTGGAGAAGTCAATGTTTGGATTATGTTTGCACCTGGAAGCTGGCCCTGCTGGGCCCTGCTAGGCAGACGAGGGAAATTTTGGGGTATCTCAGGGACGAGCCAGGATGTGCCCACCCCATGGAGACACTGGCTTCGGGTGCCTGGAAATGGTGGGGAAACTGAGGCAGTTGGCGTTAAAAGAAACAGGGAGAGAAGACAGTGCCCCTGGCTCTTGTGAGAAACTGCCATTTAAGAGGGGGAGAAGGTGTAGAACCGGGAAGAGTGGTTGGAGGTCTGAGTGCTTTGGAAGGAAGAGGCCCTATCTTCAACTTCCCCTGACCTTTGGGGTGGGGAGAGGTCACAGGTGGCCTGGCCCTCTGGGATCCCTCTGGAACTTGAGGACAGCCCAGGGTGCTGGCGTCATGTGTCGCTTGCTTCAAGGCTTCCAAAATTTGCCTCATCCTTGGTGACATGTCAACAGTGGACTGTCCCTGGCCACCTCTGCCCTGCCACCATCCCCTGCACAGAGATGGGTTTCTGCCCTTCTGGCCAGGCCAGTGGTGATGGTGGTGGGTTCTCCTTGCAGAGGTGTGGCAGTCCCCCAGCAAAATGATCGCTTTAGAGGGGGACTCCGTCAACATCACCTGCTCCACCCCGGGCACCCTGCATGGCATCTACCTGAAACAAACGTGGCCAAGCAACAGCGATGTGATTTACTATGAAGATGGGTTGGAGCCCACCGTGGACCCGCGGTTCCAGGGCCGCATTGCCTTCTCAGGGCTGCAACACAACCTGACCGTCAGCTTGTACCACCTGCAGTTGGCTGACACCGGGGGCTACACCTGCGTGGCCATAATGGATGATAAGATCTTTGGTCCTGGCACCTTGGTCATGGTGACAGGTAGGGAGTGTGCCAGCCCTGGGACCTCTCCACTTACCACTCGCCAGCATGGGCTCCATCTGCCCCTGTCTGGGAAACTTCCCTCTAAGTTTGCTTGAGTTACTCATTCCAACATGAGCCCAACTCCTCTAGGAAGCCTCCTGGATTCCCCCCACCCCAACCCCCATACACACTCCAAAGCCCCACCCTGCCCTGAGCCGCAGAGTTTCCCAAGGACTCCCTCACCTGCCGAATGCCTGTCTCTGTTCCTTCTTCCCAGACCAACTGCCCCAGGCAGTGAACACGTGCCAGGAGTCTTGGCTGATACACTTTGCCCTCCCCACGACCCTGGCTGTGGGCTTCTTCCTCATCGGGCTGGGACTGGGAGCAGTGTGTGTGCTGAAAAGAACACAGGTCAGTATGGACCCTCAGGTGTCACCAGTGTCCCTAGAAGCCTACTCCTCTCAGAGAGCATGATGGGAAGGCAAGTGGGTAAGCCTCAGGGGTCTGGCCACATGGGAAACCCCAGCACCCACTCACTCCTTCTGTCAGAGGCCCTGGGAACTTAGAGGGTTTGGATGGTGAGGCCCAAGGTGAGAGGAAGCTCGAGAACTGGAACCACCTGCAGGGATGGTCGTGGTGCCAGGAACACAGGTCCTGGTCAGCTATTTAAGGGGGATTAGCGAGGTTCAGTGTGGCTCAGAGGGTAAAGAATCTGCCTGCAGTGTAGCAGACCCGAGTTTGATCCCTGGATCAGGAATATCCCCTGGAGAAGGGAATGGCTACCCACTCCAGTATTCTTGCCTGGAGAATCCACAAGGACAGTGGAGCCTGGTAGGCTACAGTCCCTACAGTTGCAAAGAGGTGGACATGACTGAGTGACTAATACTTTTCACAGAGGGTTCCAGAGAGATCCTTTCAGAGAACATGGGCATGCTGCATGTGACTGAAAGTGTGCATGCATGTACATATGTGTGCATGCGTGCATGAGTGAGGCCTGTGAGCATGTGAAAACTACGTGCAATCGTGTGCTGGAGGTGGGAGAGGAGGGGCCAACAGAAACAGGGGCCAGGAAGTGGTCAGCTCACCCCTGGTCCTTCAGCTTTCACCCCCGCCTCCACCCAGCACCTCTAGCTCTACATCCCCAGAGAGCCAGGCCCCCCTCCCTGTCCAGGGCCAGGGTGAAAGGTCAATTCCACCTTCCACCTCCCCACTGCTGTCCCCGGGGCCCTGCCTCTGCCCACCTCACCCAGGCCTGGGCAGCGCTGGAGAACCGAGGGGCCGGCCGAGGACCCTCCTGGAACGGCTTCATGCAGGCCCCCAAATCTATTATAAAAGTTTCCTGAGGGGAGATGCCTTGAAGACAGAGGATGCTCCTGAGCGAGCTGCCCCAGTGGTTAGACAGCAGGCTTTCTTTCAGATCCAGAAACTCTGCTGTGCGAAGGATAAGAGCCCAGTGTACGTGGTCTATGAGGACATGTCCCACAGCCGCTGTAACACCATGTCCATCCCCAACCAATACCAGTGAGCCCGCAGGACCCCAGGCCCGCCTCTGTCCAGCAGAGCTCTGGGCCGATCATCCACCCAGAACGAACACACAGGCAGCTTCCCACAGTAGTCAGGCTCCCACAGCCTCCTCCAGGAAGCCCTCCTTGCCTGCCTCCCACCCTTGAGGCTGCTCCTGGCACCTTGGAACCACTGGGAAGGAAACTTCTCTGTCCCACGGCTACCCTGGCCCTTGCATGGCAGAAGAGGCTGCTCTGAAGGATAGACTTGCCTTGGGGCAGTGGTCAACTGGGGGACTGGGACCTGAACTCTGACCCCAGTCAAGCCTTGCCAGAAATAAAGGACTTCTCTTCTCCCCTTTCCAACTCCAGTGTCTATTTCTCAGCCAGTTCAGAGTCGAGGCGGGGAGGCTTGCCTGACACCTTCTCTGGCGTCACTGAGGATTTCTGCAGCCTAAAGGATTCTGTGTGAGATTTTCAGGAAGGAGGGAGGGGCCAGGGGACACAAACTCACTGCAGTTCCTGTTATGGCTGAGAAGGTACAAATCAACCGGAGCCCTCCCAGCCTTACTGGCCTCCACCACAGGGTGAGCTGGGGACAGAGGAAGGGGAGCAGTGATCTCAAAGTTTTAACAGAGCTGCTGGGCTCTTAACTGGGCTGCTCCCAGTGTGCGTCTATGTTGGGGTGTGACGGGAACTGGAGAACCGACCTTGGGGAAACAGGGGCACCCAGCATGGGTGTGAACTGTAGCTGCATCCTCCTGGACCTGGCACCAAGAACTGGTAGACCATGCTGCCCACCAACTGAAATGAGAAAGCCCTTCATCCACTGGGTTTGCAAAGATTAAAATGTCTTTAAGTAATGATGTTCCTTTTAGCTGGAATTGAGTCTTGGGGACGTGATCTTTGGTCACAGAAACAAGATTACAGTGATAGCCATGGCAGTGTCGCTTTCAATAAGAAAATCAGCCTCTGAAAAACTACCTAGATGTCCAAATAGGAGAACTGCTCTATTAATTATGGTAGGCACATGCAGCAGGTGTTAAAAAGATCCCATGAAGAGTGAAACATCATGCTAGGACCTTTGCAAGATGCCATAAGGATACAAGCTGGTGCAGAGTATATGTGTTACCCACATTTATAAAGTACAGATGGGTGTATGTGGTTGCTTAAACCCCTGACAGCACTATTATGTCTACACAGATGAAGTAATGGAAGAACAGAAGAGGTGGTTCTGGCTGGCTGTGGGGTGTGTGTCACTGGAGCAGGGAGTCACTGGGACACACTGGCTTTGGGATGGGCAGCTTGGGATGTGATCTCAACAGCTCTTGTGGAGAGTACCAGGACCTGCAGCTGGGACCCAGATGGGGAGGCAGAGACAAGGAACACAGCACCCCCATCTCCCAGGGTCCCGAGGAAAGGCAGGCCGCCCTACTGAGCCAAGGACAGCAGGTGTTCCCCTGTTACCTGCTGACTTCTGGTCCCCGCTCTTGACCACTCAGCAGCGTGTCATTGGGCAAGTCCTGCCCCTCTGGGACTCAGTTTTCCCATCTGTAAACTAGGGGAGTGGGCCCATGCTCCCTTCAAGAACTAGGTTCAGGACTTCCCTGGGGGTCCAATGGCTAAGACTCCATGCCCCCAGTGTAGGAGGCTCAGGTTCAACTCTTGGTCAGGGATCTAGATCCCACATGCCACTATCTAAAGACCCCACATGCCGCTATCTAAAGATGCCACATGCCACAAGGAAGATCAAAGATCCTGAGTGCTGCAACTAAGACCTGGCACAGCCAAATAAATAATAATAATAATTTACAAAGAGCTGGACTCTGTGGTTTCCCCAGTCACAATGAGTGCCTTTTCCACGGTCCCCACCCTCAGCTCCCACTGTAGCTTTAGCCTCTTCCCAGCTCCTGAGACAAAAGCAGACAGCACCATCAGCCCATCGGCCCTTGTCATCGGACACATCTCTCCACTGGACTCCACCCCAGCAACCAGCGTTCGTGCCGCCTCCATCCTCTGCCTTCCTTGTGGTCTGTGCTGGGGGTCATGCTGCCCACCGTCCTCCCCTCGCATGATCACCCTTCATTGTCTGCTTCTCTTTCCTTTCTAGGGAGGGCAGGGCTGAGTCCCTCCTCTATGTGCCCCTTGCCCCACAGCGAGCCCCATGCTTGCTGGGCCTGTTACATACACATAAGCACATTGGCATTTAAATACTGCTGGCTTTGTTTCCGTTGCGACAGACAGCCTGAGTGCGCTCTGGGTCTTGGTGCTCCCACATTTATCCCTGGGCCTCGATTTCCTCAGTGTCAAATGGGGGCAAGGAATTCCCTGGCAGTACAGTGGTTAGAACTTTGTACTTTCACTGCCAAAGGCCCAGGTTTGACCCCTGGTCAGGGAACTAGGATCCCGAGAGCTGCACAGCATGGCCAATAAATAAATCAATCAATAAAAAAGGAGGGTAAAAAAAAAAGAGGAGGGCAGGGGCTGCTCTACCTTGGGGTGGGGGGGGGCATGAGGACTGAGACATCTCGGGTCAGCACTCAGAGTGGCCTCTGTACAGCACATGCTCCACCACCTGTGCAGGTATGGGCTGAGGCCCTGGAAGCTGGAGGCAAAGTCCTTGACTGCAGGCAGCAACACCCATCCTCAGACTGAAGCTTTGGGGGTTCCAACGCGGGGCTTTTATAACGGGAGAAATAGAGTTCAGCTTGGCCCAGTCTGGCCTGGCACTGGGGATAGCAATAGAAACACGGGCCTCTAGGCATTAGCTCCTCCCCTCTTAGGCCCCCAAAGCCCGAGCATGGCCACTACCGTCCTGACACAGGGGCTGGCCAGGGACTGCAGCCAATGGGAGGGGCTGGCATGGTGGGCAGAGGGGCTGGAGTGGAGGGTCTCGGCCAGCCCAGGGGTACCTTCCTTCCACTCCAGGTTGGCCTGCCCCAAAACCCTGGCTAAACTTCTCAAATTAAAAGAAAGTCTCAAATTGGATTTAAAAGAAAAGATTCAACACTATATTTTCTTCAAAGAGCAACATGACACTTTTGGGACAAAAAATACGGAAAACATATAAAAAACAAACATGAACTACAAGAAAGCCAGGGTTATCAATTCTACTTTCTGACAAAATAGTACTGCTGGCAAAGCAGCAACAGAACAAAAACATAACCAACGTGTACCCATGTATCTAAAATTAGCAAAATAGGTACGAACAGGAAGGACTTAACCACTGGGAGAAATAGACAGATCAACCACTTAAGCCTGAAATTTCAAAATGCCCCTTCAGGTGTGAATTATGCTGTTAGTTAATGTGAAATCCCACGCTCATCAAACGGAAAACAGACATGATGCCACGGTGTATGAAAAGCTTTTTAAAATGGTCATTTACTGTCGAGGGGAGCTGAGCAAAAACAGAAACAGAATGAAGTCTGCAGACTCAATGCTGTTGACATGAGCTACAAACATAACCACACAAAAGAGCAACACTCATTTTATCCTAATTAGACATTCCCATGAGAAGTCAGCCCTGAGCTTCTGAGAGGAGCAGGAGGCAGGCTGTGAGTTATCCTGGATGATGCCGGGGGGCCTCTGATAGGGACCCAGCCTGAAGGCCGTGTGTCCAGCCCCCAGATCCACCTCATGCTCACCTTAGAGTGTAGCAGGGAGGCTCTCTCCAAGGCACGGGCAGCCTGAGCAGCCCAGGCGAGCCAGAGCTCGTGCGCACCAAGAGGGGCTCTCTAAGGAAACCAACAAGAAATCACCAGTACAAAACCAGAGACAGAAGCAAATGCTTATTTGGAATGAGAAAAGAAATCACAAATTTTATAAAGCATCCAAAATATCCAGGAAGTAACAATGTTTTGAAATTAATTGACACCACTGACCATTCTTTTTTTTTGGCTGCATAATTTCATTGCCTCCTCTTTGGTGGCCTCTTCAAATGACCACAAAAGAACACAGAGAAATATCATCCTTATGAAAGCACAAGCCTGGCCAGGACAAGACGTTCATGAGGGACCAGGATGTGCTTGGCCAGCTGGGGATGTGAAACAAGTGCCTTGGCTCCCTACAAACACAGGAATTTCAGAAAATTCTATCTTTCAAAAGTCTCACGCAAAAAGAAAAACGGATAGCCGGGGGGTGGTGCAGTTATAATTGTGTCTGACTGCATTGTGGAGAGCAGTCCTGGAAGTGAAATGTGTGCTGACCTGCATGGACGAGTACCATGGCCTCTGCCAACAACCTCACATTTCATACACCTCTCCTGACGCTGGAAGGCACCAAAGGACATGGGTCCCTTTCGTCCACCCCGTGAACCACACATCTCACACCTTCCTGTCATGAAGCCAGAGAGCACGCTCAGAGCAGGGGGCATGCAGGGAAGAAAGCTGTACATGAAGGCCGTAATGAATTACAAATTACAAATTACAATTAATTTTTTCACAATTCTGGAGGCCAGAAGTTCAAAACCAAAGTAGGGTTGATTCTTCCTGGAGGTTCTGAGGGAGAATCTGCCCCAGGCTTCTTCCAGCTCCTGGTGGTGCCAGCAATGCGTGCTTCCTGGGCTTGTGGCTGCATTCTCTGCCACTGTCACCACATGGCTTTTTCCCTGTATCCAAAACTGTCTCTCCTTATAAGGACACCAGTCATATCGGGATTAAGGCCAGACAAGATGATCTCATCCTAACTTGACTGCATCTGCAAAGGCCCTGTCTCCAGATAAAGTTCCATTCACAGGTCCTGGGTGGACATGGATTTGGGGGAGTACCATTCACCCGTGGGCTTCCCTGGTGGCTCAGCAGTAAAGAACCTGCCTGCATCGCAGGAGCTGCAGGAGACGTGGGTTCGATCCCTGGGTCAGGAAGATCCCCTGAAGGAGAGCATGGCAGCCCACTCTAGTACTCTTGCCTGGAGAAGCCCATGAACAGAGGAACCTCGTGGGCTATAGTCCATGGGGTTGCAAAGAGTCAGACCCAACTGAAGCGACTTAACACACATGTATTCACCCTCAGTGCTCCATTCCACTCCCAGATAGATAGCAAAATCTTCATCGATCTTAGAGCCACTGTACACCCATAAATGGATCTCCGAAACCAACTAAATGTATTCTCAGCTTAATTTACTCTTAGCCAGGGCTCAGAGATGCTCTGGGCCAGACTGAGGCCGCCTGACACGCAAGCAGACTGGAGGGAGACAGGGCTCTGGACCACGGCGGTTACACACCTTTACCAAGTTTTACATCATACCCGACGCTCCAGGCCTCGGGAGCGTCTAAGGCCTGCTTGTCAGAACCACATAGCAAACCCGCCTGGGCCCACTGGCTAGTATGTTTCCAGGAGATGGTGTCCACCCTGAGTTCCAGCTCAAAC